GAAAAAGGCAGGAAAGGCAGGGAAGAGAGCCCGCCCGTCGCCACGGCAGGAGGGGACGAGCCCCGCAGGCAAGTGCCACGGGATCGATGGTGGACGCCGTGCTCTGCTCCACCCGCACGGGAGGGATCCCGGCGCAGCATCCAGGGCGGATGGCAGCCCCTGGCCCGGCCAGGCGGCACCTGGCGCTGTGTGCCCTGTCCCCGTGGCTCTGGAGCTGCGCCGGGCTGGTTTAGCATGGCATTTGGCACTGCCCTCCTCTCCTGCCCCGCTTGGCCCGAAGCAGGAACCGCGGCGGTGCTGCGAGGAGCGGCCGGCTGCCGCAGTCAGATTTGCTGGCTAAAACCAGGTTTGGCCTGGAGTCTGGGCAAACTCCTGGATGGGGTTTCCCCGGGGTACAGCCCTCGTGCCTTGAGCAACACGCATCGGGCACGCTGAGGAGGCGGCAGGAAAGCTGATGGTGACGCTCGTGGCATGCTGTGATGAAAGGCAAGAGGGGAGTTTGGATGCTGAGGTGACAGGGAAGGGCTTGGGGTCGCCAGCAAAGTTGCGGAGTGAAGACATTCCCGACAGCAGTGCCCAATTCCCCTCCTGAGGGACACTGTGGGCAAGGCCAGATCCGGCTCATGGCTGGAGTTGGAAGAGAAGCAGTACCAATATCGGTCATTTCATCCTCGCTGGAACCCTGACTATACAAAGCTTCATTCTCACTCCGTGCAAGGGTGTTTGCAGCTTAATAAGTCTGGCTCAGGTCTGCAATAACTTGTGATGCAGGGAGGGTACCCTAATCCTGTTCTGAAAAACTTAAACAAAACCTGAACTGCCCAGCTTCACCCCCTGGCAGTTCATTTCAGGAGGTAGCTGTTAAAAATGTGTCTTTGCTTCTCATTTTCAATGACCTGGATTTAGCTGTCAGCCCCTGCCTGGGGTTATTCCTCTCCCTGCTAGACCCAGTCACCCTTCCTAGAGCGACAGAACCGAGGGCTGTTTGCATTAGGGATGTGTTGCTGGCCAAAACCTCGGGCTCAAGTTTGTTTCCTTTGTGAAGAAACAATGTCTGTGCTGTTGGTGATCCCCATCCCACTGAAAAACCCTCTTCCTTCTCCTGCTGTGAGGATGACAGGCTCCAACCTGGGACAAATCCATGGGAACAGTGGTCCGGAGGGCAGTGGCTCAGTACTTTCACACTGGAAAAGCAACATTTGCTGGAGAGCGTGAGGAGCTTTTACCTTGGCTCTGGCCCACAGGCTTTCTTCAAAATATCCCTTTCACATGGAAATTCCTGCCAAGTGAAGATTGCTGGCTCTGGCTGGCATGTCAGCCACGGCAAGAGACACAAAGGTTCTGTATCTGTCCAAATACGTGACACAAAGGAAGGGGAAGGGGTTTGTTTTGTGCTGGATACCGTAATCAGCCAGCAGTGTGCAGGGAGTCTTTGTGGCAGAGCTGGGAGAAGGGGGAGTGGGTATAGGAAAAGAGAGCTAGATTTATTAACATTAATTCCAAACAATCAGTTTTCTGCGGAAGGCAGCACCGCTGATCTCAAATTTCCCTGCCTCAGAGTCACTTCTTGAGTCCCTTGCCTGCTCCATGGCCAAGAAAACACACCTGCAGTAACTCTGCTGCACGTAATTTATTGAGCCACTTTTACTACAGTGCTTTTTTTGTTCCCCATCACCAGCAAAACAAGGGTGACTCCTAGCATGGCCATTCTCCACGTTGGTGTTTAATCAGCATTGCACTGTTCAAACAAGGCAGGTGCTGATTCTTGGTACAGCAGTCCCTGTCTGCATTGTGACTGTCTTTGAAGGCTGGCCTACAGTAAATTCCCAGATTTTTCTAGGAAATCAAATCATACTTTTGTGAAAGAAAGTTAAAGACAGAAAGGCACCACTTGGTCTCACCTTTCTTACCCCAAACCAAACAATCAGGCACTGAGTACCAAAAGCATATTGCAGATTCCCACCTGAGCTGTCTGATGTCTGCAACATCTCACAGGAACCTTGAAATTTCCCTGGAAAAAGCAAGTTATGTATTAAGAGAAGAAATCCAGTCTCTGGTAGACTCTCAGTGCACCTGACAGTGCAGAATTATTGCAGCATGAGCAAGGGTGAAACTAGGAGTGATTCACCCCTTCTGAACCTGCTCAGAGATTCCAGGCATCTGGAAACTGAACTTCTTTTTCTCTATGGATCTCTGTATTTTGTTGTACAGCCATTTCCACCAAGTTATCAGGCTGGAGCTGTTGCAGCACAGTTTCTTCATCATCTTTCTTGAAAGGCCTTTTGAGAACTTCTGTTTTCTTAGAAACTTTCAAATGGTTGCTTTAAAATTTATTCATGAATTAGTGAAGGTGATAAAGAAGTGCAAGGTGTTGCACCTGAGCTTTGGAAACTGCAGACATGAGGACCTCAGAGCCCCTTGCAGTGCCTAAAGAGGGTTTATATATAAAAAGGAGAGAGACTTTTGCATGGACAGACAGTGCTAGGACAAGGGGAGATGGTTTTAAACTAAAATAAGAGAGATTCAGGTGGGATATTAAAAGAAATTCTTGACTGTGAGGGTGGGCAGGCCCTGGCACAGGGTGCCCAGAGAAGCTGTGGCTGCCCCTGGATCCCTGGAAGTGTCCAAGGCCAGGCTGGATGGAGCTTAGAGCAACCTGGGGTAGTGGAAGGTGTCCCTGCCCATGGCAGAAGGTGAAACTGCGTGAGATTTATGGTTCACCCAAACCATTCCATGATTCCATGAAGTTATTACAATGTGATTCTATGCACACATTGACTTTAAATTAATTTATTTATTCTCTCCTTGAAATTTCTATTGTAATTTTATTTTTTTCTAAGTCATCCTGAACCAAAAGAAGGCGGCTTATTTTGAAACTTTGGTTTTTAATGTATAATTTTCCTCTCTTCTTTCTGGAATACAAAATGAATTTTATTCACATCTCACTTCAATTCTGTGGATATCTGGAAATTTATGGGGAATGAAACCAGAGCTATTGAATTTCAGTGTGATTTAAATATCTGTCAGCATCAGCTTCTGCTCTTTCCTACAGGCTTACATGGTGCTGTGTCTCCAAGGGCAGCTTGCAACAGGAGAACTCACCACACCTGAAACCTTCCTGATAAGGAAAGACAAATGTTAATGGGCTTGGTTCTTTTCCTCTTTTCTGCTTATTCTCTGCTTCTAGGAGCTCTCTGCTATCCTCATTTTTAGGCAAATATGCCTTACCCTATTTCTGTCACTCACATTTCCTTCCCTCTGTGCTGCTCACCTCCTTGTGAAGCCTTAAATATCTCTTTTGCTTCATCTCACTGTTCATTAGGATATTTAGGCATCTTCCAGCTACTCCATCTGGGGTTTTTAATTGGAACAAGGATGCCTGAGGGTGAAAAGAGGAAAAGAGAAGACGAGGGAGCAAGTAAGGTGTGGGTAGGGCAGAATACAGATTTTTAAGAGTTGGGAGAGGAAAGAGCTTCCCTGCAAGCAAGAGGAGGGGAAAGAGCTAGGAGGGAGCCAGGTGAGAACCAGGTGAAGGGAGTTTAAGAAATCCTGATTAGTTAAGGTTTGTAAAATGCTGCTGAGGTGGCAAAGTCATCTGTATATGCTGATCTACTAATCGTTGTTTTGTGGAGTATCCTGGTTCATGAATCACAGGGGATTAATCACAGATGACTTAGCAATAGCCAGGGCTGATGGGAGTGCAATATGAAAAATAGGCAGCAAAGGAGGCTTTTCCTCTTTTCTGGAGTAGAAGGGAATTTTACTTTGAGAAACTTTTAGAAGATTCCCTTGAGTGGAGTGAGCCTTTCCCCCAGCAGAAGAACACCCTGGTTGACCCCTGTGTGCCTCTTGCCCTGGTGCAGAGAAGGTTGGTGACAGTTCCTCTCATTTCTGTAGTGTTTTATAGCAATATCAGATGGAATAACAAAGAGAAAGAGCATTGCAAGAACCCTCAAACAACCCTGCCTCGTGGTACATCTCACTTCAGATGGTACAAAAATCTCATCCCACGTGGTTTGTGTGAATTGAATATAGAGATTGGGGCAAAGAACAGGTGATGAGAACATTTTTGTGTGGCCTGATGGCCACCCCCACAGTCTGTGTGAGCTGGTGTTTCAGGTGTCCAGCTGGGTCTGGTATCCAGAAGTGGCATGATCCAATGATGGCCAGGGAGAGAGAGATTACTGCTAGAAGGAGCCTGTTTGGTCATTTTTAGAACTAGTGTTTGTTTGTGGTGAGGTATTGCAGCAGAAATTAAAAGTCAGTGATGGTGTCAGATGGAGGGATAGAGTTACTCCTTGCTGGCTTGGTCTTGGTCATGGTGAAAGTTGTCTCAGAAGAGACCTGACAATCAACAGCTGTAGCAGCTTTTGTTCTCCCTGTCTGGCAGACTTGTGGGCCTGAGCTAAGGTATTTTGAAATTATTTAGTGTTGGTGAGTATGAGGCATTTTTTTTGTTATCTGCCTTTTTTGGAAATGATTATAGACTCTGTGTTAGTGCTTTTCCATAGGTGGTGACTGAAAAGCTTCAGTGCCTTCTTTCTGGCCTGTGATAAGTGTCTTCAAAAGGTCCTGGTGCTCTCTTCTCTCTCCTGCTCCCACACCCTGGTTTATCTACTCTCTGAGTAACTGTAATTACAAGTGGTATTGCTCAAGGACAAATCAATCTCCTTTTTAAACACAGGCAAGACAGAGAATCACTTCTTGTTTTAAGAGAGAAATCAGAGTTGAAACTTGCATGCTGACAGGGCAGTTAGAAGCCATGCTGTCCTTTACCTGCTGCTTTAATGTTTAAAGCACAGGAATGATGTGCACCTTCATCAGCACTTCAGTGGCAACAAGGGGAGAAAAAACCTCAGCCTTTGCTCCTGTCTGTGACTTTCTGTTCATGCTTTCTTCATGCCTGTGATGCCAGCAGCACTGCTTCCTTGTCTGATTCCAAGGAGCTGTGAAAGGAAAGATGTGTGTTTGGGATATCCTGGTGATTGAGGTTCTCCTCGCCTGTCCCTGAAGAAACCTTTGTTCTCTGGGGGAAAATCCTAAATACATCAAAGCAAAGTAATGGACTGTGGATAACATAGTGTTCAGAAGGGTTGTGGCAGAGCTGTTTTTCTTTTGGCGTGTGTAAAGGTGAAGGGTTGGTGTAATTTTCAGGGAGTGGAGAGTAAATATTGCTCTTTGAAAATAACAGATGCAGGACTCTTGAGTCATGACCAGAACAAGGATGTTGGGAGCCCCCTAAGCCTCCTTGCTAGGGAACAGCCCTCAGTTCTCTGTGTCTGCTGGCAAAGAAATTCATGTGAGGAGTCCCAAAAGCCCAAGATATCCTGTCATGGCACAAAAGCCTTCCCTGCTGCAGCTCCGGCTCAGCAAATAAAGAGCATCTGCAGAGAAACACTCCCTGGTGTCCTGCTAATCTGCTCAGTCTGCACTGCAGAGGGGAACCCTCAGCTCTGGCCAATAGACATCAGCTGAACCATCTTCATTTTATTTGGCTGTGAGATAAAACTCGGAAGTGTCCAGTGCGTTTCTCTCTCTGTGGTGCAGTGGAGATGCTCGTGGATGGTTTTGTCCCCTTGAAGTGTTGATGTTGTAAAGTACAGCATAAAATGCTCTTCTGTTTTACAGTGACACAAGGCTCTGTGGGTTTAGCAGTAATGTTTTGAGCTTTATTTTTTCAAGGAACAAAATAATAATACAAGATCTCTGTTCTAGTTACTATGGATGGGAAGGTCACTGGTCTCTTGTTTCTATGGTTGCTATCCAAGCCTGAGAGAGTAATTTTCAATTATTGTGCCTTCTCCTGTTATTGTCTTTGAAAGCCACTGTTTTCGCATCTCTCCATTCCAAAGACAATATAGGCCAAGGACAAAACTAAGGATGCTGGGCTGGTGGGAAACAGGGAGCATTTGGGCACTGATGCCCAAACACAAATATTAAGGTGAGTTTGGGTGCAGGAGCTTAACCTAAGCAATCTATCAGAGTAACCTTTGGGATGGGCTGGCTGCTGGAAAAATGAGTTTCCCTTTCACAGGTAGACTGTGTAGTGGCACCTCTGGTGTCCCACAGGTTGCCTGCCCTACATACTCTGACCTATATAGTAAAAGCTCAACCAAGTTTTACACAGAACACACTTTTCCCTGTCATGTGGGAAAACAGATTCTTCACCAAGTTCTGTTTGTCTGGAAAACCTGAATTTGTTTGTCTTCTGTTTGTGCCAGTTCTGAGTTCAGTTCAGTGCCTGGCTTCTGAGCTTCAGCAGATCCTTTAGGACTTTCCTAGTAGGGACTCAACTGAGGTATTTTAATATCATTTGTTTACAAATATGTGCTGAAAAATGTGCAGCTTCTCACTGGCCACCCTCCTGTCCTTTCTCCCACTCTTTTATGTGGAAGCAAAACACTGCTAAAATATCAAAATCTGTAGGATTTAGCTTGAAAGGTGGTTTGGATTCTGTGCGTGGCAATAACACCTTTAGACTTGTGTTTTTCCTGCCATCTTCTAGAAAATTATTCTTACCTCAAAATATATATTTATTAATAGAAATGCTCATCCTGATTAATTTCTAAAATGGAAATAAATGTCACCAGAGTTTCTCCACATCAGAGTATTCACACAGGCATTTTTAACTGTTGCTTTACATGCTCATGCTATTTTGAGGGAAATACTATTTTGAGTATGGGTTTGAGTTTTTTTCTTTTGGGGAGGGCTCTTTTACAGGAATGCTTCAGGATTTTTTTTTTCTTTTAACTTTTTTAATGTTTAGTTACATAAAAATGTAGGAAGGAATATATTAAGGAAGAAGAGGTAAATCTATATAGACTTCTTGAAGGTTTCCCCACTGTCTTAAGAGGGATCAGGATTTAATCTCAGATAAGTGTTGTGGCTTTTGTCCTATCCCCACAGATTCTTCTCTATATTTAAAAACAGTTATTGAATCTTCTCTTGGATCTGTATATTCTTTCTTTCTCCTTGTCATATATCACTGAGGGAGGAAGGGAGCAGAACTTTAGAAATTGGAAAAAAAATTGCATGGACATCAGTAATCTACTTTTTTTCTCTCTGGTATTTCACAGGGAAATATCCCTGGAATGCTTTTTTCTCTGAAAAAGATGATTTAAACCTAAGTGAAACTTCTTTTGTAGCATGTGTAAGGGACACAAGGAGCTGATCATTATCCATCTGTACTGCCAATAATCTTGGTCAGTCCAGACCTGCAGTTTCACTTATTTCAGGTCATTTGCATGGTCTGCTTTATAACTCATTTTATTTCACTTACACAGAAGTGTAAAAAATTAATGTCTTTCAGCACAATTGGTGTGGTGCAGAATAAATAAAATAATACCAAAAATTGCTGCCTGTTAAAATTGGATGAATTTTTTTTCAGCTTTTTTTTTTTTTTTTTCCCCACTGAATTTCATGTACTTATTCTGGATTTGGAATTAGCAGGGTCTGAAGTTGACCTCTACTTGGGTTTTAAAGGATGATGCAGCCTCAGGCCTCCTTAAAAAATTTGTTGCAGGATTAGGGCTGTTTGATTTTGTAGTAGGAAATCTTTGGTCTTTTAATTTGATATACATCAGTGGATTTCTGGGACCAACAAAACAAGCTAAGAGAAGAATGTCTGGGCAAACTTTAGGAACTTGGAACATGTTTTAACAGCTCATGGATATGAATGTTCAGCTGCTCATCAGTAATTTTGCAGAACTTGGGACGTATAATTGCTTTAACTCTTTGCTTCTCTATTTAATTATTTCCTAAACCACTACTGGTGTGCCTTCTTGTATGTTTGGCTATTTTTTAAATTCTGGATGTATTTCATGGACACGTCCTGTGTAATTTGCTGTCCTAGTCTTCAGACACGATCAGTGTAGTAGAGCACAACAGGAAATGCTGCCTCATCTTCACTTTCACAATGATAAAGCTTTTTGACCTTCCTAGTATTTAACTTCTGTCTTTTCCTTCAGATTTTTTCAGTGTGAAAGCTCTTTTTTTTTTTTCTTGGAGAGAATAAGGAGGGAGGGGAATCTTGGAATTAAGACCATCCCCCCATCTAAACCCGTGTACCAAATGCTAACACAAAAATGAATTAATTGCTTTAAGATAAAATTAGTCTTTGATTGCAAACATGTTTGTCATACAGTGCTTAAGTCACAGTCACATTTATTGATGGGAGGTGATGAAAGACAAGGTTAGTCAGTGCAGACTTGATCATGAAATTGCAATTTTATTAATGGATGCAGAGCCTTATTGTTTTCCAGAATATGAGAAAGAGGCAGAGTATCTGTGGCTGTGAGTGATGGATAGCTCACTAAGCTTTCATATAATTTGTTTAATTTCAGTAGGATTTGTACAGTAAAATTCAGTGTTTACAGGTAAGTGGGCCTCTTAGCTTTGTACTTGGAAAACAATAATAAATTTATTGGCATTCCCTCTTCGGGAAAGGCAAAAAAATGTGTATCAAGAGTTGCATAAAAATGCCAGTAACTTGGAGAAGCATAAGTATTTTGTGACTTTTGAGCTACAAAATAACATCTCTAAATTTTTAAGTCCCAAAGGAAAATATTTGTTAAAAGGGGATTTGCCTAGTGGGAATTTAAAAAAAAATAATTCTTGCTCTGCCACAGATTGGACCAGAAGCAAATGCTGAAGAGGGAGCTCATCATTATTCTCTCTTCTAAAAGAAGAGAAAATTGAGGGACAGCAGCCTTGATCTTATTGAGAAGAAGATTGAAGCGAAAGACAAGGTTGGTTGTTCTCGTTTCAGAAGGGTCTGAAAGCTAAATTGCAAAATCAATTTACTGTGGTTACTATAACAATTAAACTGACGTGATGAAAAGATGGAGGAGGAGGAGGAGGATGGATCAGAGAATCCACCCCCACAAAATATCTGTGTGTGCAGGTGGCAAGTGTTGGAGCTGCCAAGGGTAGAGCTGCCACTACTGCCTTTCCTCTAAAGTGACAGGCGGCCATCTCCTCCCCTTTTCCATCTCCTCCCAAGGTCTGTGCTGCTTTCTCTGCTCAGATTTCCCTCCTGTAGTGATTTTTGGGGGTTTTAACCCCCTGTTCTGATTTTTGGGTGTCACTTCCATAGGCAGCTGTCTCCTCTCCTTTTTCCATCTCCTCTGATGGTCTGTGCTGGTTTATCCGCTCAGCTTCTCCCCTGGCAATTTTTGGTGTTTTAACCCCCAACCCTGTTTTCTTTGGGTGTCCTTCAAACAGGTGTGTCTCCTCCAATTTTCCATCTCCTCCTGAGGTCCATGCTGCTTTCCCTGCTCAGACATCCCTTTTGTGGTAGTTTGTGGGGATTTTCAACCCTACTTCTGTTTTTTCGGGTGTCCCTCAAACAGGTGTCTGTCTCCTCCCCTTTCTCCATCTCCTCCCCAGATCCCTGCTGCTTTCCCTGCTCAGGGGTGGTGGTTTTCACCTCCTAATCCTGTTGTTGTGGGTGTCCCTCAGACCCGAGCATTGTCCCTGTCTCAGGCTGCCATCCTGCTGGTGCTCACACACCACAACGAGACTCCTGCTGCCCACCAGCTCCCGCGTGTGCTCTGCCATTTGTATTAATTGAACATGCTGTATGCTGCATACACCGCTGATTACCCTCATTTATTTCGGCTCCTAAAGACCCGAGGATTTCTGTTGCTTCGCTCTCGCTGCATTGTTTTACTCATTTGGCTCCAATTAGCCTCGGCTAATGAAAATACATTATACCGAACCTCTCGTTACCCCGTTGCAGTTTCTAATGACATAATTTGCGAGTTTTGAGCCTTCTCAAGTAGAGACATTAGGAATTGCATTACAGTTTCTTCGGTGGAGTGGAGAAATATTAATTGCAGGCATCTGGGTTCCTTCCTTTAAAGAAGGCTGGTGATTTTTACTTAACTAATAAATGTTGACATAATCAGGGAGCTATCAGCACCATATGTTGGCCTTTTGTGCGATACAGATCTTATCCCTGCCCGGCTGGGTAAGGAAATGCTTCAGTGTTAGCACCGTGTCTTGGTATATTTTTAAAGCATCACTCAGCACAGGCAGATTGCTGTGAGAGAAGAGATGAAACCTATCTTTAAAAAGCAGGTGGGCCGTTTCCCCAGCCGTCCAGGTGAGGTTATCTTTAATGATAAACAGATGCCAAAAGCTGCGTGTGCTACCGTGCTTGCCTGGCATGGTATTTGCGAAGCCCCTTTTTGTTAGCAGAGCTTTGCCCTGGGGACTCTGAGGGAGAGGGTGGAAGGGAGCCAGATGGAGCAGTCAGCCGTCTGTTCGTGTGGGGTGCGCTCATCTCCTCTGCCTCCTGTCTCCTTTCGGGAACGTCGTGTGCAAACATCGGGCCCTGAGGATGCTGCTGCAATTAATGAGATTTCAGGGTTGAACCTGAAGGAGAGGTGTGCTCCTGCCCTTCACGGAGGGATTGATGCTACCCTCCTGCCATGGAATTAATTCAGGAGGAAAAGAAAAAATGTATCAAGATTAAAAATAAAAATAATTCAAGGATTCGGGGATATGATTCTTGGTGCCAAAAGGCAGCAATAATACTTCATTTTGTCTAGTCCAAGCTGGGTTTTGACAGAGCACACTTCAGCCCTGAAAGCTCTGCACATCCTCCCACCTGGTCCTTCCTTACCTGTTGGCTGTCTCAACATGGAAGCTCCACAAAACATCCCTCTGTCTCTATTCTTCGGAAGGGTTTCTTTGGCCTGGTCTCCTCTGAATTTTTCTGAAAACCTTTCATGGCCTTGTTTCTGAGAAAAAGTGGGACATGATCTGGGGGTAGCTGGGTGGGTAAGGCTTGCTGCACCTCAGGGATGTTTTTCCGCTGTCAGTCTTCAAAACGTGTAGAAAAAGAGGTTGTTTAACACATAAGTAGCTGCTAAAGAGGAAAGGGGAAGGTATGGGGAGGCATTATAAGCTGTGGCATGATTTGAGTGGCTGCCTGGTAGCATTCCACATAGCCCTCTTTGTCTGAGGCAGCAGTTGGCTGCCTGACAAGGACTGGGAGGATCAATTCTTCTCCATTAATCACTCTCCCCTCAGCATCGGCGCTGCCGCGGGTTCGGCCTGTGCTGCCAGCAAGAAGGATCGGGTTCCCCCAGCACGAGGTGTTCCATTTCCCCATCAATGGGGTCAGTCAGGCCTTCCCAGCCCCGTGGGGAACCTGTGTGGGGTGGTGGTGGCTGGCTGCGTCTCCTCCAGCTGAGCACGGGCTCAGAGGCCTTGTCCTTACCCCGAGGAGCCGCGGCTGGCACAGCTTCCAGGGGCACTTCTGGGAAGGACAAGTGCTCCTGCTGGAGCAACAGCCGGGTTCATCAAGTGTCACCCTGTTGTCACGAGCCTTGGTTTCAGCGGTTTGTGTTAGCCTATTGAATTTTTCACCCTGGGTTTTATGGAACAGAGCAGCCCAGTACTTTGCTCCCGAGTCCCTTTCAGTCCCTGCGCCTGCTCAGAAGAGGTGAGATGGGCAGCTGCTGTATTTGTCCTTCTTTTGGTTTGGCACCAGCAAAAGGGAGAATTATTTAGGAAACCCATTATCAGATTGCACTCCTAAAGCAGCACACAAGATGTGTTTACTTGATTTGTTGGTTAATATTCTTTATTTCCTGCCTGAAGGCAACACAGAAGTTAATATGTCAAGAAGACAAGCTGAGAAGAACTTATTTTGTTTATGTATTTATGAAATAAAATGGTTCCTTCTCCAGTAGCTTGTCCCATTTTAGCATTAACTGCAGGTACTTCCTCCACACACATCAGCAATCCAGGCAAGTGCAAGCCTATAGTAGCCCTGGAGGTAGCAAAACAATGTTTTTTAGCAAATGAGAAATAAGGGTTAGAGTTAGGATTGTTCCCTAACCGGCCATGTGGCATGTGTTGCCTTTCCAAAATGAACCACCAGAGAGAGAAGTGTGATATAAAAGCACACTTTTACCTCAAGAAGCTTTCAGGATGAAGAACCCTGCTCTAATGGGCAAACCTGTGTTTTCCTGAGGATGGGAGGATGGAGGGGCATTGTCCACCCCTTCTGGGCTGATGGTTTGAAGAGTAACAATGAATTTCATTGTCTTTTGTGACTGGGGTTGTCCCTGGCCACGGTGTCTCATAGAGGTGGGCATGTGCTGGGGTGGGTCTCAATGCCAGCTCTGGCTTTGGAGCTGGGGCTGCTTTTTGCTTTTCTGGCTCTTCTGGGGGATTTGCAGAGCAGGGAAAGGCTGGAGCTGTGCGAGGGAGAAAAGAAGGTAGCTGAGGTGCTACCAGAGGAGATTTGGCATGTGGAGGGGGCAGGGAGCCAGAAGGACTTGTTCTCCTCTGCTGGCAGGGTGACTCTGAGTGTGCGAAGCGAGGAAAATCCACTTGAAAAATGAATTTTTAGACGAGAAGTGTCATTTAAGTAAGAAAGCAGATTGTGACTGCTCTTCTCTATTAAGATGTGACACAGAGACATACAGACACACTTTGGGGTGTCCAGAGCACTATGACCCAGTTTCTTTTTGATTCTCTTCCCTGCTCCTTTTTTATTTCTTAAATTTTGGAGACATAGTGCTAGAATACAAGATGAGAACAGAAATCACTGGGCAGTCTTCAGTTAAGAGGACTTTTGTCCTTTAGATAAATCCACCCTGCCACAGAGTGGAAAGCTAAGTGGGGCAAGAGGAAAAGAGCCCCTGAGAGGACAGGCTTATTGATCACATAATGAATAGTCTTGTGTTAATCTTGCTGAGGCAGCGTCTCAAGACTTATGGCATTTGGCTGGAGGAAAAGACGTGTATGTGCGTGTAAATTCGTGTTTCTATGAAGTGCTCCAGCCATGTCCTGATGTGCTGGCTGAAATATTATGGCCAGGCTAAATCAAAGCTGGCTGCTTTAGTTTGCCTGCTCATATCCTGCCTCCACCTGTTTGTGAGGACAGTGGGAGATTGTTGTGAGGGATGTGTGATTGTCCATCAGGACAGGAGGCTGTGAACATCATTGGTGGGAACCCTGTTTGAATATGGTGGCTGAAGAGACATTTTTAAATGTTTAACCTGAATAAAAGGCTTAGCCAGCTGTAGAAGCCATCACTGGTGTACCCTGGTACGTTTTGGTGACATCCTGTGTGTGCACCTGGGCCAAGAGCTGATCTCTGAGCAATGTCCCATGTCACAGCTGCTGATCCTGACTGCAAAGCTAAGGTTGTGCCCTCTCTGCTGTTCATTCAGGATGCTGGCAAAATCTTGCCTTTATTAATAAACCAAACCCATGCCCATTGTAACTGGAGGTAAATCCAGTAATTTTGTGAAGTAGATTTGTTTATCCAAGGGTAAAATCTGGCCTGGTGCCCTTTATTTGAATGGGGATTGAGTAATGTCACCAGCAAGCTTAAGGGAAAATGTCCTGGGGTCATCTCCTTGTTTAGATGTTGCATTACACCTCCCTGTTTTTAATTGAGGTTCACTCTGTCTGGGCCCTCTTTACATTCTTCAGTATAGGAATAAAAAGTTTTGAAGAGTTTATTTTTCAGAGGTTCAGTGTACTGTTCTTGCTGGATTGATAATCTTAATGGGTTATGTTTGGAATGGTTCCAATTTCTAATTTTGGAAATTGAATTGTTTTAGTGATTAAACAAAGTAACTGAGGGCATCACCCTATTAAATAAGATATTTCATGCATGTGATTAATTGTAATCTCAATGTAAATCGTTTTGATTTAGAGATTAATGTTGATTCTTTGCTTCAAATTTACTGTCCATTTGTTTTCTTAATTAAAATTAAAGGTGGAAGACAGATAGCAGAAGAACCTCTTCAGGATGTTGATGTTCACTTTGTTAAATAGAACATTTTTCATTAGGAGGCTCAGAAGTAATAGGCTTGGTATAACTATATTAACCCTCAGACAATAGTGGATAGATTGTATGGCTTTTCTATTGCTGGCTAAGCTTGTCATGCTTTAGATCACTTAAAAAATATTGGTAGCTGATCTTCTGGCTTGAATGCAGTCTCTTTCAAAATTAAAAGGTAGTCTTTGAAAAATAGCTTCCTGCTTTTTAGAGAGGAAATTTCTCCACCACGCTACTTGAAGAGAGTGTATTTAAAAGTATATCATGTTCCCAAGTCAAAATAACAGTGTGTGGGGGTAGAGGGAAAGTCTCTTGTTCCCCATCACACAAAGCATCTATACCTGGTCCAAATGGATCCAGCATCATATCAACTTTTATAAATGGTTATCTTTTCACTGCTCAGCTGTGAAACTAAATCCAGTGGAGTGTGTTAATGCACTGTGTTATGTCTGGATATGAAAGCCAGGAACAGTACAAGGGCAGTATTGACACAGCACTTGTGCTTCCAATATATGCTGAGCAAAATGTGCATGAAATACTTTATAATTCATAGGGAAACCAGAGAAAGGATTTGTTGTGTTCATGCAGTAGAAAGGTAACAACATTAAAAGCTTTTTAGTGCAAGGATGTTGGCTTTTGGGGACAATGAATATCACTGATAAAACTCCAAAGCTGCTTTGTGTTAATGGAGTCTGTTATGATACAACATGATGATCTTAATTCATCTCAATAAGAATGCAAATTATTGCCACTGCAAAGCAGTATTGAAAATATTTGGAGATCAAATAATGACAGCAAATTCCCCCACGTCACCACTCTGGTGCCTGATTGTGGTTTACAGCAGCAGCATCTCGTGCTTGATTTCTAGGAGATCTTAAGATTGATCAAACTACAAAGGCAGAGGAGACTTGAAAAAAAGAAGTGCACCAGAGAGCCATCAAGTACACTGAAGTAATTTGTGATGGATGTCTGACTGACCTGAACCTTGGCTGCTGCTTGGTTTTCTTTGCCATTCCTTCCTAAGGCGTGTTTTTATGGCTTTTGATGCAAATGGAAGCTTCTCTGCCCTTTCATGTGGAGACACCTGCCCTATTGCAAGGTAGAAATCATCTGGCCCATGTCTACAGCTTCTTTTCTTGAGCTGAAGTCCTCTCCTTGCATAACTACTTCTGATCAGATGACACTAAGCCATTTTCAGTTGTAAGCGTTTGGAGCTGGGGTTTGTGTTATACAGCTCTAATGAAGTAGATTTTTTCCCCCCCACAAAATGGAATATTCATTCTATGTGAAGACTATAGGTACCATTTCAATAACAACCATTTAAAATGTAACATTTATTAAACTGTGAATGGTTCAGAACTTGGTTCAGCTGCGTTCCTGGCGTTGCTCATGCAGTGAGCACTATTAAGCATTTTGAAAACAAACTCAATCTAGTATTTCCTAGTGTGCTTCTCCTATGAAAACTGATTTAAGCCAGTGCTACTGGGATATTACTGGGAAATACTCCATCAGTTTAATTTTCCAAAGAGTGAGTTTGTTTAAAATTTAAGGAGCATTTTCAGAAATCCTCCTATAATGATTGTAGTATCAACACAACACCTCAGTGAGATACAAGATGGAAAGCAGCTTCTGCTTTCTCAAGATGTGCTTTCTCACATGTCCTGTAGGACCAGCTTGTTTTCAAGATCTGTTACTGGTTGTACTGTAGCTCCCAGCGCAGTTTAAAACTCCCTTCTTTTCCAGATGTGCCCATTCTGTGTTTGAAGCAAGCAGGGTTTGGGCTTTGTGTCCTTGTCAGTTGTGCAAACACAGCTGGATTGGAGAGGACAGTTCAATGTTCCCACTCTTTGGTTTCCCAGAGAAGTCAAAGATAATGATAGGGGAATGCTGCCTTAATTTAGGTTTTATTGGAGCCAACCTACCACTTTGTAACCACTACAGACAGAGCTGTGCTCTCCCACTGATCCCAGCAGTGTGCAATCCCCTAATTATCCCCTATCAATGGACAACTTCCCATGGAGATCAAGGAGGCACTGAAGAACTGCAGAGGAGTACCTATTTATCCTTTCAAAGACCTTCTAAGAGAGGGAAAGGAAGCTCTGGGCTGCTCTCCCATTAGTTGCCCCAGGAGGGTGGGGATACTTCCCCTTTTGGTGAACTCCTTAGCACAAGGGAGTAAATGCATCATCTTCTCTTTAGGAACAAGGTCTTGCTTTCATTTGTTTCCTCCTGTTATATGTGAACCAATTTATTCCTGATGCATTTTGTCTCTTTCTAGTTAGCTTTGTGTCTTGTCTTTAATGCACTGTGATTAATGTTGGTTCTTTTGTATTCCTCAGCCATGTAAACTTGTTTTTGACATATGATTTATGTTTCTTTCTGTTTTCAAGTGCCTCTTTCTGGCACAGCCGTGATGGTCTTGCTATGCATTCTGTTCCTCTCTATCAGAAGAAAAGCTGTTTTGCTTAAAATAATTATGTATGTATATACACATGCTTTTTTTTTCTTGGACTGCTTTAATCCACAGTGTTATTTATTACTCCCATATGTCAAATTCTCAATTGCTTCTCTTCTATTCTTCTGTTAGACAAGACTGGAACAGAAATAACCCTCCTCTAGTAAATTCTCTGAATTTATTTTTTTGGTAGCTCCAAGTGCTTAGGGAAGTTTATCCAGATATTATTCCATTGAATTCCAAGTGGTCAGTGTGGTTTTGTGCTGCCTTATCAACATATCTAGATGAAATTCTGGGCCCTGTGCATGAGTGGCTTCTTTTCATGGTGATAGTAAATAGTGACATCACCCTCGGGGTTTTATTTTTCCTTTTTTTAATTTGGTCTTTTTTCCTCATTTCACATTGAATTACACTTGGAATTTAAGGTAATAAATTTGTGTGCTCTTCCTACAGAGTGAGTGATGCTCAGCTGTAGAGCTTGCCCAGGAAAATCTCTTCTAGTTCTGGTTCAAGTATTAGAGCTCCCATTTGTTCCTCCCTCTCTCCCCTGCTCCTACAGTTGCTGTAGAGACATCCAAGTGAGTTACCCTGAGTGTCAGGCTGCTGCTCCTTCTGATAGCCTCTATTGCAGCTCCTTATCACTTCCCCAGATTTCAGCCCCCTGGGCCAGATCGTTGCCTTTGGAACACTCGAATTTTGTTATCCTCTGCTCTCCAATCTGCCTCCAGATCTCTCCCACTTGATAGGCAAGCTGATACTTTCCCCCCTGCTCCTCTTATCTCTGCGCAGAGATTCACTTTTTCCTGGGATAGCATCCCCTAGTTGGAGGAGCCAGAGATGCCTTGCTGGTGCCATCTGCACAGCTACACAGAGGCATCTGTCTCTGTCACTGCCAGCCCACAGGCTTGGTGCCTGGGCTCCAGCCTGGCCCCCACCCAGCCCCATCAGTCACAGGTGAGTGGGAGCCTGGTGCCCTCCAGCTCCTCTGCAAAATCAGGGACTTGCTCTGAAAGAAATGGGGCAGGGGAGAGGAAAAACATCAAACAAAAGCTTGCTTTAAATGTGGCTTCTGTTCTGTATCAAAATTTGGAAATGGAGAAGGTTTTATATTAGCACAATGGAATTAGGAGGGGCTTATCAATCAGAGTGTTAAATCATAAAGGAAATTAAACTCTTTTAAGCTGCCTTGCTATGGAGTGCATAATCACTGCAGGGATAGTGCTTGCTCTGAAACCTTTCCTGATGCTGCTTTCCTTGTATGGGGAGGAGATCACCTAGAATAGGAAAGTAGGTTTTTTTAATCAATTAAGCACAGTATATTTACTTTATATATATGCATATATATTTTATTCCTTATGTCACTGCTTATTAAACTGAAATCCATCATCATAGCTTTTCAATGACTTATAATTTAACCTTTTGCTCTACATAAATATTCAGTTCTCCTTATAGCAATCAGAAGAAAGCCCGGTGAACTTAATAATGCAGGATTTAATACAAAATATGTGCAGGAGATAATTGGTGAAATGACCTTTCATTTGTGGCAGTAACTTCATACTCCTGATTCAGAATTATTCCCCTGCCTTCTACCTCTTCAGGCTTGTTGTTTTGAATAATGACATCTCTCAATTGGCAGGTAGCAGATCTGAAGGAAGGGATTTTCAAGAGGTGAGTTATACCCCATGGACACACTTCTGCCTAGGGTGGTAAATTCTGAGATCCTGTCAGTAAATGAACCTGGGATGCTGTGGGCATTCTTGGAATTACCCAGGCTGGCATTTCGCACTGAGAATGTCTCAGGACACTGCCTAAACATTTTTTAGCTTTTAAATATTTGTAATGAGAGGACCTGAAGGTGCTCATGGTGTTTCAAGGGTTGCCAAGTGCTGCTCTAAATCCAGGTTTTTCAGGGCTGTCTGTGAAGTAACCGTGACAAGGAATTAAATCCTCAGTGTGGAGCCTCTTACAGGGGCATGATCTGTGGATCAGGGGACAGGCAATGACTGTGTGAGCTGGGAGATGTGAAGCACATCTGGAGGTGGCTTCCAGTAACCAAAACTTGGGGCTTTAGGCTGTCATGGGAGTCCTCCTTCACAGGAGCTGTCTTTTGCCAGCTGCTTTGTGACATAATTGTGGTTGTGTGACAGGAAGTGAACATTTCTCTCCATTTCTGTCAGTGTGGAGGGGGCACAGCTGTCTAGGGGTCAACATCAGAGGGCAAGGGTTTCTTTCTTGTTTCATCAAAGGAGAAGGAACCCCCTCACCTCCTTGGTGTGCTTGGCACCATCAGCTGGAGTCACTGTGGTGAGGAATGGCAGCTCACGAGGCAATTTAATGTTTCAATGCTGGATGAGAAGCGTGCCTGCCTAAGGAAAGGCTGTTCTCCCTACCCCTGGTTTTGTAGGGAGAGAACTCCTGTCATTATTTCCCAAGAGCCACCTGTGACCATGGACAGCACTCCCTGCAGCCCATCCTGCTGTTGGAGGGCATGGATGATGTTTAAAACCAGAATATTTTCAGTTAGAAGGGATTTACAAGGTTTGCATCCAGCTGCACCATATTCCAGTTCCCCAGCACTTGGACACTGCACCTCAAAGAGTTTGTTTCATTATTCATTGTTACCTGAATACATCTGATTGGAAAATATATTTAGGGCTGAAGGAAGTTGGATTTCATAAACATTCCAGAGACATAAGTCTGAGTACCAAATGCTATCAGATTCCAGATAACAATTACTTGTAATTAGACAAAAAATGTGATTGAGCTAGTAGAAGATATTTACCCCAGATTGTCCAGTTGGCTTCTATGATAATGCAAGTTTTTTTTGTTAAGATGAAAAGTAAAAATGTGTGTGTTTTCAGTACATTAATTTTAGTGCCACTGTTTCACCATTAGCCTATTTTTTCCTTACCTTTCTCTTCCCATATATGTAAAAATAAATTACTTGCTGAAGGGGCAGTTTAAAATTCACTTCAGAAGGAGGAGACCAGAAAGCTTCCTTAAAAGAGTTCTCTTTATTTTGCATCTTGATTGCTCCTGAACACTGTGAATGCCCATTTCCCTATCACAAGGAGCCAAGAATTGAGGCCAAGTGCCAGCAACAGTGGATGGTGCTACAGAAACTTCCATCCTCTGTTTGCCCAGCTCCAGAGGAGCATTATGTGAGGAAAGGCATCTTAACTTACACTATTTAAAGTACTTTGGAGCTGACAATTGTTTGCTTTTCCTTGTGAGGCATTGCTCATTGAGGGAAACCATCCATTTCCATGCAAATATTTGGTGGAAGGGTTTCTCATTGATTTGGTCTAACATGTATGAAATTATGGGCAACTGACAGAGGCAATATCTCAATTTTCTGCTGCTTGGCATCTCTGAGCACCCTTGTTGCAGGAGCAGCCACTGACCACGCTAAAAATGCTATGTACCCTAGAAAAATGTTCGAAGCCGTGCATCACTTTGGTAAAAACTGACCTTCAGAGCATTGTTTTTAAAACATGTTGTGTGTTCTACGTAGAAAAATGGTATGTATCTTCTGTTTCCATGGAAAAGAAATGGGGGAGGTCCTATAGCACAACAGTTGAATGATGTCTGTATCACTTACTTTATTTTAATAAATTGTGTTTGTCCAGCCTGAGATCTATTTTACCTTTCACAGTGTTTGGGATCTTTAAAGCTGTATTCCACATAATTTTTCCAGTGATAAATTTTTGTCATTAGGAGCCCAAACAGATTTGGAAGTGTGTGATGAACATGAAACTGGCCATGTGGTCTTGGAATATGTATTTTGCATGCCATTTACCCTTGACTTCTGAGCAGAGAGGCTAGAGGTATTTGCTT